ACTTGAAATGGATCATAAAATGCATAGATATACACATTTAAATATGCACATATGTATGTACACATGAATCTCCGCATATGTAAATGGCAGAGGAAGTTCATACGGAAATTGGTCTCTCTGTCCCATTGTCAGAAGCAGCTAATCTCCATATGCAGACACAGAACCAAACAGATACAGATACCCACACCCACACACACACACACACACACTGATCAGTCTCTGCGGAAACGGACCCACATTATGAATGCCGATCACAGCAGGATGGAGGATGAGGGAAAGAAATAAAAATTATAAAAGGGAAAACCAGCAACCAGTCAGCCGCAGTCGCAGTCGCCTACCCAAATGAAGCCGAAAATGAATCAAATAATGATTACATTCGCAGCGATCGAAATGGTTGTTAATATTCAAAGCGCATGCACCTGCACGACGCACACCCCATCCAGAAGACGAAGGCAGGGAAGAAGATGATGGACTGGAAGATTCAAAGCAGGCAACAGACAGAGAGAGTGAGAGAAAGAGAGAGAGAGAGAGTAACTTCAACAGGTAGACAGCAGGCAACAATAAACAGCTCAAAAATGGTCAGCCCAAAGCCCAAGAGAGAAAAGAAAGAATGGCAGGCTTTAAGCCAGGGCCCGAAGCTGTTGATACCCCCCCCCATGGATCGGACCGCTCTTACGGATCTATCCTTTATGTGTGATTTCGACTTTGGTGTTTAGGAACATAATGCTTCCCATGTGACAAAAATCACCCTCTGATAAAAATGGCCTCTGCAAGGGTATACATAAAATAAAATATAAATCCAGCAGCAGCAAAAGGATGGATTTGGATGGATATAAAATACATACACAGGCACACACATATGTGTGTATATTTTGCCACCGGCTTTTTTTGGGCGGGGGCGTCGACACTACATGAACACCAACACAAACACATACACACGCTCACACACAACGTACCCGAGACGGGGTTGCGGGAAGTTCAAGTTCAAATTTATTTTTATTATTTCATTCTTGTCTCCCTCTCTCTCCCTCTCGCTCTCTCTCTCTCTCTCTTACTCTCTCTGGTCTTTCCGGTCTGTCTGCCTGCCTGCCTGCCTGCATGTGCATGCATAAGTGTGGGACATTGAGCAAAAGAGGGAGTGGTGAGGAGAGCCTATGCTACAAGCTCAGCTTATGCTCATGCGCCCACACTCGCGCGCTCTCTCGCCGGCTGCTCAACGTTCTGGCTGCTTGGTTCTCGTTGTATTCGGCTCTCGTTCTCCTTGTCCATCTCGTTCGCTTTCCGTCTCTCTCTATTGTGCAGCGGTACACAGCGAAAGAGGAAGAGGCAACTGCAGTTGAACAAATGCAATGCCAAATATGGTTATACGCATCAGACACACCAAAAAATCTCGCTCTCTCTCGCTCCCCGGCTAACTCTGTCTCTCATTCTCTTTGGGGAATGGCCTATGTTATTGCTATATACTAAATATACGCTTTCCCCCAACCACCAGTGATCGATTCTGGTTGCATATATCATTGCATATTTACATACATATATATGTACATATGTGCACAAATAGAGACAGCAGCTGGAGGCCAAGCTTAGCTTTAGCTTATACTCTTAACCGGAAAGAACCTTTCTCTCACATTGCATAGAATACTTGTACATATGTATGTATGTACATAAATATGTATGTAGGTCGCACTCGCCCTGGGTTCCTCCAATCCCCTTATGTACGGATATATCTATTACATCTCTATCGATCGGCTAGCTCTGGTTTTGGGGAAAACACACACAAAAGTGAAAACTAAATTCGTCTATGCCTAAAGAGGGCATGAAAATGCGTCCAACCCGAATACATAGAAAAATAACGGCAAAGCGCAGAAGCTGTTATATGTAAAACATTGACTCAAGTAACAGGGATTTACAGTTTCCAGCTGAAATATATTTTTCCAACAATGTTAAAATATTAAATTAAGGTTGTTTCAGTGATCGAAAAATGCTCTTTTTTCCTGAGTGGAAAACCGATAGAAAACGATGCACATATTTTATTTGATATCTACCGATGTACATATGTATGTATGTACATAGTTAGTACAACAGTTAAGTGTCGGTGGAAAAGTTAACCGTATATTTCCCTGTAGCTTTTGCAGCGTCTGCTTATTAACATGTTTGTGGCTGTAAGGGCACTGTTAGGGTGCACTCAATTAGCCTTAACACTCACAAGCGGCGCCAGGGCAGAAGGGGTCAGAGTTCAAACGTTTAATTTATGCACATACTGACACCAATGCATATATGTACATACATACATACAAACATATGTACATGTATATATTTATGAATATGTTTGCTTATCATTAACATCAACTGCAGCTGTTTTTATTTCGCAATTACTCTTCATCTTCCTCTCTCTTTTGAGATGAGAAAAGTTGCTCTCTTGCATCTGCTGTGCGTATACTATGTGGGCATGGCAAGGGGGTGGTGGCTGTGTGTGCATTAAGGCTGAGGTGTTGAGGTTTAGGTGTGGTGCGCTCTGGTGGTAGTTCCTTGCTCTCCTCACAATTCGCCGCAAAATTTAGGGGAAGTTTCGACAACGCCTGCGCTCTCTCGCTATCTCTCCCGCTGCACGTGCAATTTTTCACATGTGCTTTTTGTCCTTTTACCGGCATGCTGCATGCTCTCTGCCGCTCTCTCTATCTCTCTCTTTCACAGGGTGGCAGCACTGCCCGACCTTCTATTCTTCTCGTCACAGCCTGAAGGTTAAAGAGCCTTAAGTGCCAGCTTCTAGCACTTTCCAAAAACCTTTGGCATATCTATGTTCCTGATTTGTTCTTCTTCTTTATTTTGTTCGTTTTTCAATTGGTTGTAATGTTTCGTGTACACACTATCGATGGTCATATCGGGTAGCGTTCATTGATCAAGGTCTGACTACCAATTTCAATTTAGCAGGCAATCAGACTGGGGGCCAAACTCATGTTAGGATAGGGGCGGGGACGGTGCGGCATGATGTCTCGTAGCATCGATAAGAAAACTACTACTGTGTCTGTAATTTATGATGATGAAAACTGTTTAGTTGCGCTGTCTTTGTTTTGTTCTTGCCGTTTGTAAGTTTTATGATTTACTCGTACATATGTATGTATGTATGTATTTATGTATGTAGTTTATGCCTGAAAATTCGGTACATACGCCTGCGTCATATCTTGGGTTACGTGACGCAGATCCAGCCCAACGCATGATAAAAAAAAACAATTATATTTACGTCGAAAACAACCGCAAAATACTAACACTTACAGGCCCTGGAATCTTTCAAACAAAAAATAGACTAAAAATATAATTCGATGTTTCATCTAAATTCCCGAAAGTTCCAATCATATGACTACAACTGCGGGGGGCATAATCAGCGGCCCCCAATATTCAATATTTCCCCATATGGCACCTGCTTTTCAAAGCCTCTTCAACCATTCGAGTATATCAGATGTTTTGGCCAGTACTAATGCTACGACCAAACCATTTATGATGGAGCATAATAATACGTGTACGAGTGTCTGCGGGGGAAAACATGGCTAGATGATAATGGCTGTAAGAAAACAACAACAACAGCAACTGCTGTTAATCTAATCGGCTCGGCTCGGCGCTTTATCAACGTCATGGCAACTGGCTAACGACTAACGGTACGCGTACCCGATCCATTCCGTTCCGTTTCTCCGAGCCTCGATAAGATTGCCATTTCGGTGGGAGGCGGGTGGCGGTGGGGGTGGGTTTCCAGCGAAGCTTACGCAATCGGTGTGACAGTGTGTGACAAAAAAGAACCCAAAGAAGAGGAAATGAACTCAATCAAGTAACGATGATAAATAGAATTTTGATAGCGCTTGTGGTCAAGTGGCATTGAGTGGGTTTGGGTGGGGGGTGGGGGATTTAGGGTGCGCTTAGCCCTGAAAATGTGGCCAGAATTGCATGTGATCCCATTGACCAAAGAGCACCACTTTCCGCGTGAATGAGTTTTTCCCCGTTCCCCCTCCCACCAGTAATCAGCAATTGTCACACACAAACGTATCTAATTAAATACCTTATTGTATTTTTATTGCATACGCCTCCAACCCAACTGATAGCAAAGGCAACAACACAAAAAAAAAGAATAAACAATGAGGAAAAAATTAAAGAAAGGTAACCAAATCGAATGAAAATGAGAACAAGAACGAGGCGAACAGCAGACCATGGACGGTATCAGCTCTGGAAAGTGGGTCGAAAATTGGGGCAAGGCAAGCTTGCCCTCTGTACTATTCAACATTTTCAAATATTTGAATTTGAAAAAAGGTTTCCTGGAGCGCCATCTGGCGCACTTAAATGTCACTAGTTTTTACTGATATGGCAGCACAGTTCAACGAAAAATTTTCCGCAGAGGTTTTTCTTCTTCCTTTGTGCGGAAAATGTTTCTTCTTCTTTTATGCGGATTTTTGTTTTAAAGGCTGCCAGATCAGTTCAAAGCGAATAACAAAATATCATGGTGTGGCAGCCCGCAGCAACTATGAATTGCACGAGTCTGGCAGCGCCACAAACAGCGATGTCACATTCGTTTTATGTTGTTTTTGTTTGAACCTCTTTATGTACAAAATGCAAAAAAATGACTTCTGAAAACTAGCCAATCTTGTAGAAAATTTATTGAGGAATTGGATAAAATTATTTAGTTTAGGGCTGAGAGGGCCAACTATCTAGTAATATTAAACTGAATATCAAAATTATGGAATACAATTTCAAGCAATAAAATAGAACGTCATCCCATTGCTGACCAGGGGGGTATTTAATATTTACACGAAATTTATGTAACTTTAACATATTTTACGCATTGCAGGTGAAAGATATTGGTGGCCATTTTTGTTTTGTTAGTAAAGAGGGGGGGGGATGGAGCTTCAAGAAGCCCTTGCAAACGGTACTATTTTCCACGGTTTAACAAAGGGTGATACTTTTTAAATATAGGGGTGTTAAGGGGGTTAAGTCTCGTTTGATCGCCGCACTGCCCTGGTTTTTTTATGTTGGTATTTTGTATCGTTATCGTCGGTCACACTAGTCGCAATGCAAAAAACGGTAAGAAGAAAAAAAAGCCGCTGCGTGCCCCCAAAAAAAAAGCCTCTTGCGTGCACGATAAAGGCAAGATATAGATAATGTGTGTGTACTTTGGCAACGCTTACTCATTGCTCGTTTCGTTCTCCCCCGCCCCGTGCAGCCGCAAGTAAAGCTGTTGGCCTGGCTGCTGCTCCTGCCGGTGTTCTGCTTGGTGCCGCCAGTGAATGGCTACGACAAGGAGATGACCGTCTATGTGGATGCGGGCAAGACGGAGTGCCTGTTCCATAGCGTCAAGCAGGGCGAGACGATTGACTTTGAGTACCAGGTGATCGATGGCGGCCATGGGGATCTGGACATCAGCTTCACCCTGCTTGATCCCATTGGCCTGGTGATAGTCAGCGACTTTAAGAAGCCGGAGAACATGCACCGGCACGATGTGGAGAAGGAGGGGGACTATCGCTTCTGCTTCGACAACAGCTTCAGCATGTTCAACCGCAAGACGGTATTTTTTGAGCTGATTGTGGAGCGTGAGGGCGATCAGCATCATGGCGACACACAGTGGAACGAGGATCTGGCCGATCTCACGCCTGACGAGTACTACGACATGAAGGTGCAGGACATCATGGACTTTATCGGTCGCATTCGGTTGCAGCTGAACAAGGCACGCCAACTGCAGGACATGCTCCGATCGCATGAGGCCCGCGACCGCAATCTGGCGGAGACGAACTTCCAGAAGGTCAACCACTGGTCGATGCTACAGATCAGTGCCATGATTGGCGTGGGTCTCGTCCAGGTGTTCATGCTGCGCAGCATTTTCGAGACCCACGGTCGAATGCATCACCTGTGGCGCAAGCTGGGCATTTGATGCAGTGTCCGCCGCCGCCAGGCCGAAGAAAACTGTGGAGAGTTTACCAAAGATGCGAGAGCTCCAGGTTCTGGTCCAGGTCCAACAGCATTTCAACTTTAATTTGGACATTTTCAATGCCAATTAGTATGTAAATTAAACTGCACGGCCTTAACCCATAGGCCGCCGCTTGCCATCATCTTAGGATATATACATACTAGTTCTACATGCATACAAACATACATACATACATATTTATTGAACATTGAAAGATTTATATACTATACATATATACCTATATATATAATATATATACAAACGTGTGTGCTTGCGTGCGTGAGTGTGTGTGATTGTGTAGGCATTGTTAAACAAAAGCAATTTGTAATTCTAAGCAATACTAAGAGGTTATAAAAATCAAATACAAACAATGAAAGCAAATCAAAGCGAAATGTGTACCTTTTCAATTGAATGCGCTCCACCAAGGGCTGCCTAAAGTACATTCTGCACTTACTTTTATCCGTTCTACTTAGTTTTGGTAATGGATACAGATCCTTACATGCTTTAGTCGTACCACTTGAGCAACCTTCACTTACATCAGTAAAATGGCCTTCGATCCTACCTCCTTTGGGCAGGGATGCATGATCTGCCCTCTTAGCTCTACCATATCTATTTTCCTCTGGCCCTCCTTCCTTTTAGGATACATTCTCTGCCCTGAAAACCATCCATCATCAGGTATGAAATGCCAGTTACCCCGCATCTGCTTGGAGCCTGCACAAGAGTGAACTTAAGCGGGCGAGGGGTTTTTCAACAGTTTTGTCATTTAATTCACTAAAAAAAAAGTAAGCCAATCCACATTACTACTAGCATGGTGTTTATTATCGACATTTCCAGCTGGAAACGTGCGCCTGCAACGGGCAGTGGTTGTGTGTGTGTGTGTGGAGTGACAGCTGCAGCATCCTGCACTCCGCACGCAGCAGCTTAGTGGCCCGGGTTTGTTTGTTGGCGTGTGTGTGTGTGTGGGGGGGAAGGATTGACAGCAAGACCAAGTCCAGAGCCAGAGCCTAAGCGGCCTTGTCCAGGCGCTTCTGGCGCTCCAGCAGTCGACGCTCGCGCTCAAACTCCTTCATGCGCAGCACATAGTCCTCGTATTCGCAGGTCAAGTACTCGTGCTTCTCGTGCGCACACTGATAGACAAAGGGGAACTTGTCCGAGCGGCAGGCCTGGTAGGCGATCAGCTTATGGGCACAGTAGTCGCGATCCTCGAGCGGCAGCTTCACCGATTCCATCTCCTCCTGGGTGGCGATCATGACGCGCTCCTTGCGCGACGCAAATCCCAACAGGGGATCGAATGTGGGCACCACGTCCGGACCGGGTGTCACATCTGGCTTCAGATAGTGATTCACAGCGTTGCCCATCCTAGGGGGAAGACAAGGACCAAAAGCTCGATTAGGGCATGCAAAGCATTCAAAATCACACAAAATAAATTACGTAAAATGTTTTCTCGTCGATTTTGTTGCGGCCTGCTGTCAGTTCTCTACTTCTTCTTCGCCTTTGACAGCTGCTGCCAAGGGCTGCCAACCTGTGCAAAGAGGCCAAAGTCAACGGCACAATGTTATCGATACATTAAATATTTTAAATATGTAATCTGCAATTAGCGGCACTAGAAGGTGTCGAAATAAAAAGAATGTTTTTTTATTCCAGACGTACGACGAAGGCAACAAAAAGACGATCATCCTATAAATAAAGAACCGCTGGCCTGCAACTTTCTGTTTGATGATTGTTTCTCCGAATTGAGCTTCAGCAGCACGGTAAGTACCCGGCCCTGGCAATCCTGCATTGAAAGATTACCTCTGACGTATTTTTAACATTAATTAAGGGGAATAGGATATAAACATGTCAATACTCAAAGCAGAAACCGGTTGACCAGTAGCAATAACGTTGACTCAGTTCGTTCACAGTGAACGTTCAATGAAGGACCAATAACTATCGATAGTCGTTCAATCGATAGATGGTTTAAACCATCGATGTATCGACGTTTCCCGTCGAAAAGTTTTAAAATGTTGTGCTACTTGCTCTCGTTGCAAAGTGTCCTCGGAGTGCAAACGGCAAATGGCGTAGGCGATAGTTAAGTTCAAGTTTTAGCAATATTTTATTAGAATGCCAATGCCAAATAGTTAATTCTTAGTTGTTTAATTCTATTTTGTTTTGTTCGTAAATTCTGTGCAATAAATTAGCCAAAGAAAAATCCAAGTTCGCAACTATTTTCGCTTGTTAAACGCTAACGGTACGGTTTCTTCGGTACGGTACGGTTGCCTGCTGCCTACGCAGTACGTTTTTACAGAGGTGTATATATATATATATATATAGATATCTATATAGAGAGGAAAATATCGATTTGACCGCTCTGAAGGAAAGATGCCCGCTAATATGGTGGGACTATTGAATCCCATGAAATATGGTGATCATTTCTACGAGTTGTTTACAAACCAAACACGCAGGTAATCCTAATAAGTACAAAGGACAATAGCTGTATCCCTCTTTTGCTTCTGTGGGGTTGAAAAATCGATCGAACCAACGCAGCCGCAGCCGCAGTCGCAGTTTGCTGCACTCTCCTCCGTCCTCCTCCCTCCGCCATCAATCAACCCCCGGCAAACGGGATGGGGATGCGAAAACGGGGTTGAAAGTAGCCCGGCGACGGCCCATTCAAAAATCAGCTCGACAAGTGGGCAGCACCGCTGCATCAGCTGACCCGGCTGGCTACCCATTTGCTGCCGATTTTGGTGTTGTTTTTGTGTTGTGTGTTTGTTGCCATCCCATCCCATCCGAGAGAGAGACGAGACCGAAACGACCGCGACCTGCATCACTCTTTCGAATTACAATTTCCGTTGGCTCATGTTCCGATTCAAAATATATCGAGTGCGCGTGCAGGGCCGGTCCGGTCCGGTCTGGTGCCGTTACTCCAATGCATGCCTGAATCCATAGGAATGTCCCACGCTCTTTTCGTCCCACGCACATTTGTTTAATCGATACTCCACCTCTCTTGGCCCACACCCACGCAGGCGAACCCACAATGAGAGGAGAACCCTCACCAAGCGCAAAAGCCGCAAGGAGAAGTCGGCGGCAGCGATGGCGGCCGCTGCTGCCGCCGCCGTGCTGGATGGGAATCCCGGTGGCATTGTGAATCCCCTGGATCCGCCACTGGTCAAGGAGCAGCTGATGATTATGCCCTCGTTCCCGGCGGGCCACATCGAGCTAGAGCCAAATGCCTCCAAGTTTGCCGTCTTCTCGGCCATTCGCACCACAGTCCTGGAAGCGGAGACGCGCTATGCCCTGCTGCAGGAGGGTGGCGGCGGCAGGGAGGCGGGGATGGGCCTGAAAAAGTGGGCCGCCAATTTGGACTCATCCTGCTGCCTGCTGTGTGCTGCCAGCTGCTTGGCCAGCAACATTCTCGACTGCACATGTCACGCTCAACTGGCCCTGGCTGCCGGTGCGCTCGGCGGTGGCCCAGGGCCGGGCATAGCACCTGGCGGAGCTGCCATCGCTGGCCTTATTGGTGTGGTGATCGGACCCGGTGGTCCGGGCGGCTCCAACGACAAGCGCAATCGCCGCGACAGTGCCAACAGCGATGCGGACTCGGACACCGAGGAGCCCACCGAACGGGAGCCCGTCTATGCCACCGTTCCGCTCATCGTGGGCGCCGGACTGCGCAGTCTGTTCGAGCTGATTGCCGACGCCCGCCACATTCAGCCGCTGCTCTGCACGAAGGCGCTAAAGGCTCTGCTCGACGTTATCCAGGGCCAGCAGCCCGAGTCCTTCAAGATGGAACCGGAGGAGCTGATCAATCCGCTGTACGACCTGTTGCTCGATCTGGCCACCATGCCGGCGGCCCTCAACTCGACGACCGGAGCCGAAGCCAATTGGTCGGCCATGGCCTGTGCCGCACTGCTGGGCCTCTGCATTGCCCGCGGGGACACCGGCAAGATGCTCAAAGCGATTGCCGCCATGCTCATGTCGCCACGGCAACTCTCTGCCCAGATTGTCCAATTGCCGGCCGTGCTGGCCGCCCTCCAGCACACGGTGATCAGTGCGGCGCTGAACAAGCCGACACGTCCGGATTTCCATAGCCACGGAGTGCCGCACAATTCCCTGATCGATGAGGTGAGTGTTTAGCCCGCCTTTTTCCCCGTGTGGCTGCTCAAAGTTGATTCCTGATTTCTTGTAGTTCCCCTTGAAGCTGCCTGAAGTGGGGCCCGGAGGTGCCGAAACGGCACCGGCCATGGCCTGTGACGGTGTCTTTCTATATCTGCTGTACGATGGCTATCTGCTGAAGATCGGCACTGGCTTTGGGGGCTCCTACAAGGGGCATGTGTACGCGCAGAACGATGACTTTACGCGCGAGCGGAATGCCTGGCTGGGCTACAGTGCCGGGCATTTGTATTTCAGAAGGAACTGCAGACGGAATACGGGCGATCAGCTGCAGCTGGTCGGCCTCGATACGCTGGCCCTCAAGTCGATGAGTCCCCTGAATATGCTGGCCATGCGTGAGGGCATCAACTATGTCCTATTTACCGATGATGACTCACTCCATGCCATCTGCAGCAATCGCGATGTGAGTGGGAATGAACCTTCCAACCTTGCAACCTTCTTTAAACCTTAATAATTATGCTCTGCTTTGCAGGACACCCTTGTGGTGAAGAAACTGAATCTGTACCACAACAGCTACAGCAGCGAACCGCAGCCGTTTGAGCTGCCGCTGCAGCTGGCCCGCAAGAAATTCCGCACCCTGGGCTATGCTGCCTTTGAGGATGATCTGCTCAACCAGCATCAGGTGCAGCGCATCCAGTCATCGCACAACAGCTTTGAGCCCAAGCTGCCGGCCACGTGTCGGGATGCGGATGTGGATGTGCTGGGCATGGCCTGCGGCAAGGAGTTCGGCCTGGTTAGGGCCAGCAACGGACGCGTCTACTACTATGGCAAATCGACGGCCCTGGGCCTCAAATGTGTGGGTCGCACGCCCTCGCTGAAGCTCACCGAACTGATCATATCGAAGGCGGCGCACATTGTCCATGTGGCCGTCGGCCACGATGGCATCCATGCGCTGCTGGTGAACGACGATGGGACCGTTTTCTTTGCGGGCACAGCACGCCGTGGCGAGGATGGGGACACCAGCAAGAATCGCAGGCAGCCGAAGGCGGTCAAGCCCAAAAAGATGACCAAAATCGATGGCCATGTGGTGGTGCATGCGGCCTGCAACAATGGCACCTCGGCGTTTGTCACCAAGGCCGGCAAACTGATCATGTACGGCAAGGATACGGCCCACTGTGATGCGATGGGCTTTGTCACGGAACTATTGGATCAGCATGTGACGAAGGTGGCCCTGGGCAAGGCCCATTGCGTGGCCCTCAATGCCAAGGGGCAGCTCTTCTCGTTTGGCCTGAACAACAAAGGTCAGTGCGGACGGATCTTCAACAAGCTGCAGCCCGTCAAGGATGTGGCCTCGTCGTCCTCGGCCGCCTCCTGCTTTGCCGCCCTGCTGCCGCCGGATAAGCGCTACAAGCTGGACCTATCGGCCCTCTGCGACTACGATGATCACAGTCTGGTGCAGGGCCAGTGCCGCGTCTGCATTGTGTGTCGCGAATGCACCGGCTACAATGTCAGCTGTGTGTCGGCCCTGAATGTGCCGCTCGAACAGCGGCTGGCGGGCAGCATCTGCCCCTGCGGACACGGGGATGCGGGCTGTGCCAAATGCGGTCTGTGTGCCACCTGCATTGCCCTACAGGATAACGATAATGGTGTGTGTTTCGCGTGATCTGATTTCAATTGTTTGCCCCATTTAACTCCGTCTCCTGTTCTCCTTTTTTTGCTGTAGATGCCAACCGTGAGCTAAAGACCCTTTCCACTGAGATGCAGCAGCGACAGCAGCGCTCCAAGACGCTCCTCATGCGGCGCAAAGAGAAGAAACCCTGCGAGCTGGAGACGGGCGCCGCTGGTGGCGGTGCCGCGACACCCACCGATCTGGACAAGGATCCGCCGCGTGTGGCACCGCTGGCGCCGCAACTGTTGCAGCTGCCAAGCGCCTCGCCCGTGGTCCAAGTGGCCTGTGGCCTGCATCACACCGTGGTGCTGACGCTGGCCGGTGAGGTCTACACGTTTGGCAGCAATCAGTACGGACAGCTGGGCAGCGGTGACCTGCAGCCGGTCAGCGGTCCGGTGCGCGTACAAGTGCAGGGTGCCATCAGTCAGGTGGCGGCCGGCAGCAATCATTCGGTGCTGCTGACGCACAAAGGAATGGTCTATACATTTGGCAACTATCAGAAGGGACAGCTGGGTCGATTGCCCAGCGATTTTGGCCCCAACATAGACAAGAATCAAAGACCAGGACAGAGTCCGGGTCAGGGTCAGGCACAGCCTCAGCCTCAGCCACACACACAGGATGAAGAGCTGCCCAACAGCACAACTGGCGGGGCATCTGGTTCGAGTGATGCTGCTGCTGCTGCTGCTCTAGAGAGCAGTGTCCTGCCCAGCTGCAGCAAGGAGCTGCCACCCTTGATGCCGAATTTCTCCTGTCCCGTGCTCACCCAAAGGCAAAAGTTTCTCTGGAACTGCTCCCCGGCAGCTGTATTGTAAGTCTGCTGCCACATAAATGGAAAACCAAACTGGAAAAGGTTTCCTAATCTGTTTTTTCCCTCCGTTTTTTTTTTTGCAGTGGCCTGGGTCCCAGTTTTGGCAAGAAAGTCACCTGGATCGGCGCCAATGGGGATCAGACCTTTATCAAAATAGACGAGTCGCTGATCACCGCCCAAATGCTGCCCAAAATGCATGTGGTGGCCAACAGGAAGACCATTTGTGAGTGACAACAGTCCGCCCCCCCCCGTGGAGCCCCCTCATAATTCTCTGCCTCTGTTTTGCAGTGCTTGTGCCCAGCATACCGCTGTCCTTTCACACCCTGTCCATCAATAGGCGGGATGGCAGCTGCACGGCCCACTATCGCGGTCAGAGCAACTTTATCCAGCTAATGCAGGCGCAACCACAGCCACAGGCCAACGAGAGCCAACGGCAAACGGACGCGACGACACCTGTTATGGCCTCACCAGCGCTGGCAGAGCCCGTGGCCGGCCACGCATCATCAGCGCTGCTGACTGCCCTGGCGGGCACTGCCACCGCTGGCGTGCCGATCAACGAGCAGATGTCCAGGAGCATGCACGAGGCACGAAATCAGATCTTCGAAGAGCCCGAAGGTGGTGTTGCCGTGGTCGCCTCTGGCAGCGGCGGTTGCATACCACGTCCGCGTCGATTTCTGAGGCAGCGACTCGACATGGGTGCCCCCGGCTCACCGTCGGACCAACAGCAGTCGCCGCAACAGCTGGCCTTTGCCATGGACCCCAGCTACAATGTGCTGTGGGTCTTCGATGGCGTCTCACGGCGCATACGTTGCCACAATGTTGTGGCCAGCGATATATCCGAAAGCGATGAGGTACGTACAGCAGCACACACACACACACCTATCTGATGCCCTGCTAATTTCCTGCCGAATCCCTTACAGAATGCAGCCAACTATAGGGCTTTGCTCTCGCCGGAGCTGTCGCTGCCCACTAAGGCGGAGGCACGCGTCTCCCGCTCGCAGGGCTCACTGAATCTGTTGGCCTGCCTGGACATACTCACCTCCGCGCAGGACAATATACCGTACTGCTTCGAGCAGACGCTGCCCAAGGCCATACACCCGACAACGGAGACACCGGGCGGCGATTATCAGGTGGTGAATCGCTTTGACAACTTTGGCGGCGGCTGGGGCTATTCGGGACACAGTGTGGAGGCCATACGCTTCGCCTCGGACACGGACATTGTGCTGTGCGGCTTCGGTATGTTCGGCGGACGCGGCGAATACAGCTGCAAGGTGAAGCTCTTCGATCTGGGCAGCGACGGCGGTGGCTACGAGAAGGAGGGCGTCCTTCTCAGCGAGACCAAGGAGGTGCCGTACGAGTGTGCCGCCCGCAGCAAGCATCACATTCTGCTGCCCAAGCCGGTGAGTGCGGCAGCGGGACGCTGGTATTTGGTCTGGGCACGCATCGCGGGACCCTCATCGGACTGTGGCTCGTGCGGTCAGGCATCGGTCACCACCGAGGATCAGGTGGTGTTCTCGTTCAAGTCCAGCAAGAAGGCCAACAATGGCACCGATGTCAACTCGGGCCAGATACCCGCCATCCTGTACCGCTTGGTCACCCAGGACTGCAAGCAAACAGCCGCACCGATGGACGCCGATCCCGTGCAGCGGATATCGCGCGCCTTTGCCAATAGCGTTAGCCGCGAGTGCTTCGAGAGTCTGGTTGTGCTGCTCAGCTGGTCGTGGGAGAGCTTCAAGACGCAGCTGCGCGAACAGAGCGATCGATCGCGTCCCCTGCAGCTGCAGCAGTCGCTGCAGTATCTCGGCTACGTGAACAAATCCTGTCTGCGATTGCTGCGCAAGTACACCAACGAGATCTATCCACAGCGCGCCACCAACACGGCCACAGGTGCTGCTGCTGGTGCGGGTCGGAACAACAAGGGCGGCTCCTCTGGCCCAGCGGCTGGTGGTGGTGGTAGCAGCATGGTGGCTGCTGCTCTGTCCAAATTGGAATCAAAGTCAAGCAAAGGTGAGCGAGCGAGCAAGTGTAATCCGCTTCGTACGCTAATTCTTTGTCTCTCTGTCCTCCGTAGACAAACATTTGCCTCGTGTTGTGCCCAATCCGATAACAGTGTCAAAATACTTTGGCGAACATCCATCCACATCGGGTGCAGGCGGTGGAGCCGGTGGCGGCTCAAGAGGTGGCGGCGCAGATGGATCGGCAGCTGGCACGGGCACACCCATCACACGGAAGGCGAATCTCGAGAATATCCAGCTGGCCGAGTGCGTGGGCAATGTGCGAGCTCTGCTCATTGGCATCTTCTGCGACGACATATTCAAGGACATAGCCACAGACGAGGGTAAGTTGTTATCTATAGAGTCCTCAGCATCATAAGCAATCTGAATGTTCATCCTGCCCTTTGCAGGCTATGCCTTGACCCTGGAGATCCTGGACGAGTGCCATCTGAGCTTTGTGGCCTGCTTCGATGCCTTCTATCCCACCTCGTCGCTGAAATGGAGCTGCCTGTGCGATCTGCTGGCCCAAATGGATCGCGGTGCGCTGCACTCCCGGCTGCTGAGCGCCATTCTGGCGGGCCTGTGCTCGCCCACCGTCAAGCTGCGTGCCACCTTTTCGCTGCTGAGCGCCCCCGGCAACGATCGCCAGTCGATAATCAGTCCCAGCGACAATTCGGGCCTGCCCATGCTATCCTCGACGGATGCCCACCAGTATCCCATACTGGTCGAGCAGATGATCTACCGGACGCAGCAGGAGAAGAGTGACTTTCTGATCAGCTCGTGGACGTTCAAGGATGTGCTGGTGCGTCTGCTGGACATCATTGCCAGCCCCATAAGGCAGCGCATCGAATCGATATATAGCCGCAGCCTGGAGGGCAGCTATCCGGGCAAGGAGTGGATCAACCAGGGCCTCATCGACAACTGTTGCCATCTGCTGGCCCGCGTGCTCGCCGAAATCGTTTACCAAACGGCCATGGGCGAGTACGACAAGCTGTTTCTGCCGCCGCGCACCCTGCACTCGACGGGCGCCAGATTCGCACGCTGCGACCTGAGCCGGACATGGAATACGGGCAACTTTGGCCCCGATGCCATTGCCTTTTCGGTGGACCGTTCGGGCATTGCCATAGCGGGCGCCATGGTCTATACCGGTTCGGGCAGCTACGACTATCAGCTGGAGCTGCTGTTCGACAATACGGTGGATCTGCAGCCGCAGCACAAGTGGGAGACACTGGAATCGGTGTCGGGCAGCTACGACCAGGAGGCGGTGCACAACGATCTGGCGGAGATCAAGTTCGAGCATCCCGTACAAATCAAGGAGCATGCACGCTATGCCCTGCGCCTCTGCTTCCCAGGGGGCACGCACCTGTTCCGGTGACTCGGGCCTGCCCACGGTGCGTGGGCCGTGTGGCACGAACTTCCATTTCTATGCCTGCGATCTGAGCTTCAATGGCACGACACCGGCACGGGGCCAGCTGCCGTGCATCCTGTACTACAGCACACCCGTCAAGCTGGAGGCAGGCGTGGTGGGATCCGGCTCAACGGCGATGGCAGCGGCCGATGCGGTCAGCATGTTGGCGGCCAGCAGTCAACTGATTGCCCACGAGGTGTCCACGAGGGACACGGCCCTGCAGATTGCCTCGGATATAACCAAAAAGTGCACCGAGCTGCTGATCATGGCCCGCAATGCGATGGCTGCCTCGTGCTCGCCCTCGGACAACAGCAGCTCCAATCACACGCAGACAATCGACTCGGAGCACAACATAACGCCCATCGAGGAGCACATGGACATTAATTGGGCCAACAATTCGCGCACTGCTGCCCAGCCACAGCCGCCACAGCCGCTGGCTGCCCAGCAGCCGGCCAGCTCTGCGGCAGCGGCAAGCAGCAGGCGCAGCAGATCCGCAGAATTCCACCGCCCGTGATCTGGGCAGGCGCATTGAGTCCTTTTCGAAGGGCATCATGCAAACGTTGACGTTCGACAAGCGCTCCACGAATCCATTTGAAATGGAAATCGAAATGGGCGCCACCGAGATTGGCGAGGAGGATTCCGATGATCTGGCCAATGGTCAGATACCCAGCCAGAGTCAGGGTCAGGGTCAGGGACAGGGACAGATGCAGAGTGTTGTGCCCATCAATGGCAATGAGCGGGTGGACTTTGAGCTGGCCGAACAGCCAGTGCCGACAGCTCCTCCCCAGGAGGAGATGCCACAGGGCTCACAATTCTCGCAGCAGCAGCAGCAGCAGCTGCAGTCGCTGCTGGTACACTCGGACTCGGAGGAGGCGGCGCCCATCGATGCTGGAGCCGCCGGCTGCAGTGGCTTTGCTGTGGGAGGAGGAGTAGGCCTAGGCGTGGGCGTATCCTCTGTACTGGGAGAGGCAGCGAGAGGAGTGCCACTTGGGGGCGCACTAGCAGGTGGTGGCTGCCCAGTGGCCGCTCTCCAGCTGCTGGAAGTCTTCAATCTGGCCGCCTCCAATATGTTTCACACCCTCCTGCCGCTGGTCTACGCGCACATGTCGAACTTGGCCTGCAGCGATCCCAAGAGCTCAGTACAGATACTCGGCTTAATCAAGGAGATACTGCCACACATTGCGGCCCTCAATCAATTGCATGTATCCAAGGAGCAACGCCAGCCAGAGGCGGCAGCAGCAGCAGCAGCTGCCAATTTTCCGCATCCGCCAGAGGCAGCGCCACCAGAACAGGCAGAAGCAGCAGGAGCAGGAGCACCTCCAGCAGCAGGTAGCTACAGTTCGAGCAACTCTGGAGGATCGAGCAGCACCACCAGCAACCACTATTGCATGGTGGAGAGCGAGCATCCGTATCGGAGTGCCAGCATTAGTTGCTACCGTGTCGAGTTTCCCCCATGCGTCCAGTGGATGACCATCGAGTTCGATGGGCAATCGGGCACGGCACAGCTGGAGGATTATCTGCTGCTATCCATACCCATGCGACCGGCCGAGCAGGCTGGCGAACCTGCCAGCCAAACGGACGACTACTACGATATGCTGGACAACAATCTGCCCAGTGTGCCGGAATCAAGAAGGACCGTGATACCCACTGCATCGGAAATGGGAACAGCAACGGGAGCTGGCAGTAAAAATCGCTCGGCCAATGCCCAGCTACTGATGGCCAGCTGTTGTCGCACTCCAGGGACATCCAGTGGCAGCGGTGCCACAACCGCATCGTCCCCGCTGCGTGCCCAAGATGCCAATGACAGGGAATGGATTGTGGTTAAGAAGTTCAACACGTAAGTGGGGAGACACACACACGAATGCCTTCGTGGCCTCATTGATTAACTCTTTAACAGCGCCTCCAACTGGCTGATGAGTGTCCTCGTTGTGCCCGGCAATTGTGTGGAATTCTCGCTGGAGACATCATCGCTGTATGCCCAGGATCCGCACAATAATCGCTATGGCTTCAAGTGTCTGGTGGTGGGATATGACAATCCCACAGCTGTGAGTATTTCACCTCCCTCCATGTCTCTCTCTTTCTGTCCCTCTTCTTTCCATGCTGATGCCCTAAGTCTCTCTCGCTCAGATTAACGGCAGCAATTCGTGTTTGATACGACTGGAGCAGGAGCTGTCCTATTTGGGCGGCATGTGCTGTGCCAATCTCATGAAGAAGGAGCTCAATATGCCAGGTAAGGCACACACATCCTGTGCACCTCACTAACCAGTAAACTAATTGAATAAATATGAATTTATATCTGCCCACAGAGGACAAGGATGTTGAGGACATGAGTGGCGTTGAGGAGACCATTATGGCACATCATTCGCTGCTTTCCAAGGGATTTGCACTCTCCGATCCACATCTGAATGTACATCAGGCTTTGGAGCCATATCTGCCCATTGGGTAAGTGCACGCGCCGACCGTTGGGGGGGAATTCCTACTGTTATCATTGTATACGGTATTTAACCCATGTCCCCAAAGAGATCTCCGAGTCTAAGTCTCACTGGCTCTGGCTAATCAGTGCTGCATAAATATGTTAATCGTTAATCGTTGCCTATCGATAAATGCATACAAATTTGGCTCTGATTCCGGTTTGTCACAGTTGCAAAAGAAATGTATAAATATGAAACTGTGTGTTTCCTATCGATAGCTCACGATAAACGATAAGCGTTTGATGCTCGATTTATTCAATAGACTTCGCATATGTATGGTTGGATGTGGAATCGCATCCCCCTTGCTATAATAACTATTTACAGGGCGACTTACAATTGACAAATATTATGTTGCTGGATATACACGGACATAATACGTACATAGTATATAGGTAATAGTATATGTAGGTTTAATAATTATGTGGTAGATATTTAGAGCTAAGTTTTAGGCTATGGTTTTGGTACAACAAAAGGTCACTCATTGGTGGATTGGTGGTTCAGTGTGCGCTCGCTACCCGCTTCTCTAGCTTCTCTTCAGCTCTGTGTTTGTTTGTTTGTGCGTCCTGTCTCTACATGTCCTTTGATGTCTGTGTGTGTGTGTCTTTGTGGTGTGTGTGTGTGTGTCTACAAATCAGTCTTCAGCAGGCCAGCATTCTCGATTTGGTATACGATCTGTGTCTCTTTGTAGGTGCGCGGCTCCGGCTGCACCACGTCCAGTTTGCGTCGCTTACGCCTCTGGGCCAGACGCCACCACAACAGCAGCAAAAGGAGCAGCAACAGCAGCCCCAGCAGCACACTGCCCGTCACAATGTACGCCACATAGCTGGTCGTTTGGCACTGCTCGGCTATCAGCTGACGGAGCGGCACAAACTGCTGCTGTTGCTGCTGCTGCGCCTTCGCTCCATTTGCGTTGGGACGCGGGAACAGCAGCTGCTCGCTGTGCAGGCGAAAGAAGTCGGAGCGCGGCAGTGGCGGCTCCACGCTTGTGTCCAGCTGGTAACAGCTCCAGGCATTCACGTAGCGCACCTCACGCAGACTCAGTGCAAAGCGCTCGTCAAAGCGCAGTGGCTGGGCAGCTGCTGCTGCGACATCCTGCTGTCCGGCCGTTGAGGAATCCAACCCGGATCCAGGGCGGGCACTGCGCAGGGTATTGTTGTGGAAGCGCAACTCCAGCCGCTCACTGAGCTGATAGCTCCGATGGACGGTCAGGCTGCGGAAGGCTATCTCACTGGTGGCCCCAAAATCATTTCACCCGCAGCGTGACAGCGTCCCGTATCTGCGCCTCCAGCCACTCGCCGTCCACAGCCACAAAATGATTGTCGCTGAGGCTCAGCTTGGAGACAACTAGAAGTAAGGATTAAAAAAGGCTTTTAGGAGCTGCTGGTCATAGCATTCATTTGGGCTTGGTACTTACGCTTAAAGGAGAAGGCATGCGAATGCACCACCTGGAAGCGATTGTTGCGCATGCTCAGCTCATGGAGCACTTCCAGCTCGTAGAAGGAGCGTGTGGGCAGATCACCCAGGAACTGGCAATTGGCGATTGTTAGCTGCTCCACGGCAAACTTCTTAAAGGCCTACAAAAGGGCAGAAAAGCAGAAAAGCAGAAAACTCGGGCATTAGAGAGTGGGTGCAACAGTGGGCAACAGTAGAGCAGAAGTGATCCTCACCTGCCCCTCAATCCGCTGAATGGTGACACCATCAAGCTTCAGCAATATGGCACTGTTTTTGGTGGTGGTAAAACCAAACGGTTGCATCTGTTCGATGCGTCCGCCCACAAATGAGATCTCCTCGATGTTCCCGTTGATGGCATGCGACTCGATCAACCGCAGATTGACCGCCTCGAATTCGACAATCAGAGCCTTGTTGCTGGCGTAGCGCGGCACAGTCAATGCGTACTCCCGCAGCACCAATTGGCCCAGCTGCCGGAACGAGATCTTGCGCAGACCCTCGGTATTGCTGAGAGCATAGGCCTCCACCACAAGATCGCGACAGTTGCGCACCTCCACCTGAAAGACGGCACCATGCAGCTGGGGCAGGACCATGGCCTGTGTGTGGGCATAAGAGTGGGTGTTGGGGTGGGGTTGAGTCACTTTAGGGGTTGGGTTGCCGTGGGCTGAGTGCGTGACTCACCTGCTCCTCGTTGTTGCAGTCACAGGTGATGGTGGTGTCATGATCGCGACAAATGACTTTGGGCAATTCCGTATGTCCGGGCGCCACCAGCCACAGCAGCATTAACAGCAGGATGCCCCAGGTGGTGGTGGTGGTGGTGGTGGTGGGATCCTTGAGATTTCTGATATTTCGCATGGTTTTTACCTTTTTTTTGGATGTGTGGATGGTGTGTGTGTGTCGCGTGAGTCTGACTTTGGTTGTTGTGTCTGCGGATTTTACTCTTCACTCATATTACTTTAATCACTTTTTGCGTCGTCCGGTCTCTGTGTGGCTATTGCTTGTTATTTTCTTTATTTCACCTCACACTCTTTACACATTATTCTCGCTCTCTATTCTCCTCTGTTTGTGTGTTCGCCTCGTTTCGCACTCGGTTTTTGTCGCTTCTCCACACGGCGGGAGCGAAGAGACCAGACCAGACCAGACCAGAGACCCCCTTCTGCTCGGCTAAACGTTCAACATGGAAATGCTGATAACTTGGAAAACGCTCGGGTTCGACTCTTATCTTTGAAGGTGTTTCTTATCTACTATACAAAAGCACACACACACACACACACAAATACACATAAATATAAATATATATATATATATGTGTGTGTCTGTGTGAGTATACCTAAATGAATTGAATGTTACATTTTGGGGCCACTCTAGTAGACTGCCCCTCCACTAGTCTATAGACAACCCTATTGAGCAGGTCCCACTCCAAAGAACTTCCTCCCCTTGTACACAAAAATTGCAAGCACACGTATTTTGTCTGACTTATACATTTTCTTGTATCACATAACCCACGTACAGTGACTGCAAATAATAATACAAAAAAAAAAAATTAAAACTATCGCCCATTTGAGACGCTTTTTCCTTATTGAAATGCTCCTCCAGATGTGTCAAGTTCGTGGGCGATTGATTTACTATCACAAATAATCACAAATTCTTCAGTCGCAGAATAAAGCCCTAAATTAGTATTCCTATATACAAACTAAAAAAAAATAACACTAATTGTATTTAAAAACCGAATATTGAATTAAAGTGGCTAAGTCAAGGTGGAATGTTATAAGGGAGAGCGGCAGTACCATTACGAGTATGTGTCCCAATAAGGGTGCGCTCTTTACGTGAAAGGGAAACCCAAACTGGGAGAGAGTAATAGATGGAGAACTTTCATTCTGAAAGCTTTCTGATAATACTGTTACTAGCATGCTATTTAAGATCTTGTTTTCACAAAGAAAATGCCAGTCCTTTAATTGTCTAACGGGTCTATTGGAATATACACGACGTTTTGTTTTCGCCCCGCCCCATTCTAGGTAAGCGAAACCAATAATTTCGCCGTACTTTTTGGTATTCATGCACAGTTTAGAATTAGAAATAGTTGACTGAGAGAGACTGAGACTGTTAGAAAACGGGAATAGTATATGGACGTATACAGCAACATGGAATTTCAATTGTTATTCACTGCCTATGATCGATGGGCCAATCGCTAGACGGCATCTTTGACCAACTATAATAACTTTCGACAGTTGACAGTGTCGATCATAATCATCAGCTAACGCAATTGCCCAATGATTGTCCAAGCTGGAAACTATCTGTGGCTCTGTGGCTCCGTGGTTGTGGCTCTAATTGAATCACAACACCAACACCCACCCCCTCTCCAATTGTGATGATCACTTTGCTAGTTTTGCTGCTGCCGCTTCCGCTTCTGCTTCCTTTTACTTCAATCAATGCTGCGCGACTCAGGCAAATGCTGTTAATTGAATTTGGAGGTCGGTACTGTCGTCCATCACATAGGAAATACTGTACTTTTGGGAGTGGATCTCTCTCTGGTAGCCCGAACATGAGCAATTATGCTTTGTGTATTTGTTTATGGCCATTTCCATTTGTTTAAAGAACTTAATTTACAAAAGGAAATGTAGAGTCACCAGCATCGCCAGCTGCGTCGTCGTTTATCTGGCATCTCCCCCTCTCCCTCTCCCCCCCCATCACCATCTCAAGTGGCGACTGTTCAAATATTTGCGCACGAGTCGAGAAATTCGAATACGCATACGCATACACCAAGCTGAAGCTGAAGCTGAAGCTCCTCTCTCAAGTTACACAAAGTCTGGCAATAACTTTGGACTTACCCAATCGCCCCTTTATCATTCACTGACCGAACCGAACGATGACAATCTTAATCGCATATTGCACTTCCTGTACTTATTAGATTGCATTTCTATAATCAGTTAAGTGCTGAATATTTGCTGCTATGCACTTAGGGGTAAAATGACATAGAAGAAAGAAAGAAAAATTAAATTAAATAGAATCAAAGACTGCAAAATACCAGTGACTGTATTTAGTGGACTGTTGGGCCATCTATCTGCATGACTGTGTCTTTTTATATTGCATATTGTGGGTCCCTGACACATTTACTGTAGCATATATGTGGTGAATGATAATATTGTCGCTGACACATATGTACATCAACTGTACGTGTGTTCAAATGTGCACCTCAAATGGCTGGGCAAACCAACTAAAGTTAAACCAACCGATAGTGGCTAGCTGTCACAGAGCTTTCAGAGTGCAAGGGTGCCCACCACCCCCCACCGATGGGGCTCAAGAGCTCCGGATGTGCCGCAGACGCAGTGGAGAGGCTGAACCCTTTAGGTTGAGTTTCCATATGCATCAAGTGGTTTTCATTGTGCGGAGCCATCGCTTAGGAAATTAAATTAAAGCAAAAATTGCATTTCCTGTCAAGTACCCCCAAACCCCCCTTACAGCGCGCCACTCCCGTTACTCAATTAGACGGAAATTATGAATAAATTAACACATTTCATGGATTTATAGCCACAGCAAACGATCCACAGCGCGGACTCGCTGAGCCTCGAATCGAATCGAATCGAATCGTAATCGTAATGAAACGATTCGAATGGTGTGCAAATGCTTCGTTGGACTTTCAAAACCTGAAAAAGCATTGCACAAATGATTGGCAAGCCAATCTACTGCAGCGGATCTGTTTAGATTGGTTGAATCCATCACCATCAGTGTTATCATCAGTCCGGCCCGATAAAACAGTACAGCAAAAGCTCTTCCACGCAACACAAGCTTTCCTTACAGTTTTATTTGTTCTGTAGAAATCTGCTTATCAGTTCACCTTTCTTTTCAAAGCTCTCTCTGGCGTGTAGTTGTTTTTTGTTGTTGTTGTATTCTAAAATCAACCGCAAAAACTCGGTTAACTAAAGGTGCGGTACGGTACAAAATGTGTGTGTAGGGCACTTTTGAAGTGGGGTTAATGTTTTTAGCTTGTTTTTGTTTTGTTGCTTTGTGCTCTTTTTGCTTTCTACTTCATGAAATATTCGTGATTCTAGCTGTGAATTTTCGTGGCTTTTGGCACAAATTTCAGCTGAACTTTTCGTATAACATTGACTCTGGGCGTTACTGTGTATATCTATATATGGATGTGCATATATTCGAAAGCGTTTATTTTTTTAATAGCAAAATCAAAAACGCAAAACTAAAAACAGATTTTTATTTCGCGCTGACTTTTCTTCGTCGTCATTAACCTTGAAATATCGAAAAATCGTTTGACGATGATGACGCGAACGATGACGGGCAGGGCGCATAATGGATATGGATATATGGCAAGGTGTCGTCTGCCAATTTGTATCGGAGGGGGCGTAAGCAAATACACAAACACACACACAGACTTGTGCGTTGCTAATTTACATGATTTGCTCGTCTCCTCTCCCATGGGGCGGGCGAATGGCAAAAACAGCATCAGCATTTCTTGTTTTCCTTCCTTTTGGAACTACCCTTCCTGGCAAAGAGTATATCGATATTGACAGAGAACGAAACTAATACCGAAAAGATCAGCCTCTCAAATCGGTTCTCTATATCTATAGACAAGTATAGATTTGATTAAAATCGGATGACTATATTATACATAGTATCGAAATGCAAGGGTATCAAAAGCTCGACCCGCATATATTTGTTTTTTTGCTTGGATTGTTTGTTTTGGTTTGATGCGTGGGCTGCTGTGCTGTTGTTGCCTTACGCAATTCCCAGCAGGAGAAGGAATGGAATCCAGAGAGGAGATCAGAGAGAGAGGGAGAGTGGGAGATATGTGCATATGCATTGCATCAGACTTCTATACTCTCTGTTTGAGTTCTGTTCTCTGGACTTTTTTTTTGCCTGCAACGATGATGCCCTCTCTAGCTGTTTTTATCGTTTTGAACTTTATTATGGACGCGCCTTGCGGCTGGCTCCAAAATGCCACATGCACACACAGACACAAGCCCTGTGGTTAATAATTTATGTATAGAAACAAAAAACAAACACAAAATGTAGTTCATTTGTACTTTAAATAAGGCTAAGGCAAATATTCGCATTAGCAATGAAATCAGCGCACAAAATTAAAACAGTAAAACACACACGCGACGCCGCCACTAGACGCGAAGCGGCAAGAACCGCAACAACAACAGCAACGGCGGTCAATTCAGCCGTCCGGTCCGTCCGTCCTGCTCTTTAGCTGTTGTTTTTGTTGTTGTTGGCCCAACCGGCGTAAGCGCGTGCAAATGACAAACTGAGCGCCAAAGCGCGACGTTCACGAACCACCAGCCGCCCAGCCCCCACCAGTGACAGCAGAGCACAGCGTTCGGCCGCCACAGCCAACAACAACGAGCAGAGCGCGAGGCAGTGCTGTGCATTCGGCCCCCTAGCGGGAAGTTCTGTTGGCTCTGTCATTAAATCTCTGGCTAAAAATCAGTGGAATTTCATTTTTATTTGCGATGGCTGCGTAATATTTGTGTTTCGTCAAAGCTAATCTTTTAATGTTTAGCTATATTTACCCTATGATCGCATGTGTTCGGTTGTAATTTCGAATTTTATTTTTGTTTTGTAATTTCAAAGCTAGCTTGCTTCTGGCTGAAGTGGCACCACTGCTTGCTGGTATCTCACTCCTCTCAAATCTCTCTCTCGCTGAGCTGGTACGAGCGCCAGGTTGGCTGTGACGGCGACGTCGGCAGCATTTCTAAGCAAGCTCAACAGAAACAAAACCAACAGAAAAAAGAAGCAGAAAGAATTTTTCGCGTTTATTTGCTTTGTTTGCTTTTTGTTTGCTAAAGTGTGGTATGAATGAAGCGGGGGGAGGCTCAAGTTCAGGTGACATTACAGATAAGGTCAGG